TAGAAAGGTAAGTTAAGGAGAGGTAAAAGGGTAAATTAAGAGGTAGTGAATTATTTTATTAAAAAAATAATAATAAATAAAGAAAAAGCCTGCGCCATTTTGCGATCACCCTAAGCTTTATTTTTTTAAAAAAAAAAATTTTTTAAAAAAAAAAATCTATAGATCTATAATTTTGGAGTTTTACAACTATTTTGTTTCCCGTCAAAATGCTAATTTTGACCAGGGTTACACTAAATTTCATCCCCCGTAAATATTTTCGTCTTTTATAATAATTTCGAGATCAATTTTGAATTTCGGAATTCAATTTCAGGGTCATTTTAAATTAACCGAGGTCGGGTTTTGGATTTTTAATTTTGGAGGCATGTATAGTACCAACATATGCTTCTATAATTTCAATGCTACCTGGAATTTGTATAGGCTTTCCTTGAATACGATATTTATGTTTGATACTATCATCTGGATCGAAACAAATAACTGAAGGCTCATTGAGAAAGTGCGATGCATGTGCTTGTAATAATGTACTTTCAACTTGCATACCTATATCATTTGTAGAACAAATTCAGATGTCATTTGGAGTCCACTGGGCAAGAGCATTTTCCCATGTTGTTTTAGGTATAACCTTATGAAATTCTAGTAATTAAGCAAGATCATTTTTCATCCACATACGTAATTTTAATGCCTTGAGTTTATCGTCTTGTGCACGATAGTCTTCCATACACCAGATTACTTTGTCAGTCTATTCTGTAAGAAATTTATGTAGGCCTTCTTTGTCACCCCATGGTGTAAGTTGACCAGGGTCGCCATACATAATTATTTGACAGCCTCAGCTTTCGGCATAAGATAACAATCTCTGTAATACTTTTCTAAGTATCATGCATGCTTCATCGAAGATTAGTATTTCAGCAAGTGTCTTCTTTCCGAGACATGCAGGATCCTACTCATCAATTGCAGTTGCTCCCAAATGGAAATACTTATGATATGTCATGGCCGTTAAGCCTGAATTTTATTTTCTATGATACTTAGCAAGCAAGTTTGCTGGAGTGAGAACCACAATTTTTCGATTGGAAAATGCACAGATAGCTCGTGTTATTTTTTTACTTCCTCCCTGTCCCACTAAGTAGGATTTTTGCAATGTAATTAATTTTGGATCAGTTGAAAGAGGTGGTGTTTCGCTTGGTGGAAAATCTAATGAACTTTTATGATTAATAGTCCAGGACGATGCTTCTTTACGATAGATATATCCTGGCTTTTTCTTGCACCATTGACCATATTTAATTTTCAAAGTGTCTAAAACGATTACAGATTCATATTGCTTTTTTATTTTATCTACTTTCGCATCATATCTTTTATTAACCTCTTCTAACTCTATATCATTTTTTGCATTAGCAAAAAGCTCTTTATCAAAATCGATCTCAAGTTTACTCTCATCTAAAATAGTTTCAGGAATTGCTGTTGTGTAAATTGCATTGGTACACACTCGTAATACATTTTCAATTGGGAAGCATTTTAGCTGTTCGAGTATAGCGATATGAGTATAGGCAAGGATAAAAGAGTGGATATGTAACCATTGAGCACGTTTTTTATCTCCCTCATACTTTATTAGGGTTCCATGCTTATTACTAGTTCAGTTTGGTCGATACTTTTTTCTTGCTAACCATTGATGAATCATGTCTGCCTCATTTTTGTCTCAAATTAAAATAGATGTAACTTGTACATTACAAGCACATGATCTTACGAAACAAACTGCTAAATCACGATTAGGTGAAAATTCAATGTAAGATTTTTTGCCAACACTATATATGATTTCTCTTGAAGTTACACTTATGAGCCATCCAGCACTAAGCAGGTAATCTATAAGAGGTGTCGGAATTCAGCCTTCCTTTTCTGTGAGATGTTGTCCAATAAGTCCTGCTGTGAACGGATGGAGATTTTTGGCAAATTCCCATGCCACTAGTTGAACAATGCCAGTCAAGCAACGGACAGCTTCAATATTTTCAACACAGGCACGTCGCTGTGTTCATTCTGGAAATCCATATCGTCGAATCCAGGGCAAAGCTTCAGATACACTTCATTCTGAGTCTTCACAGCCAAGATATGCTTCACGAAGATCAATATGGATGTATTTTGGAACTGAATCTATTGAAGCATTCCATACCATTGATTCTACTTGAGATTGTCGTCAAATTTCAACAGCATTTCTGGGTGTTGGCTCGATACTTTCTCTTTCTTGCCAGTAACGAAATCAGTAAGATTGAGCACCTCCCAGGAATTTTTCAAGCTCATTATATTTTGCTTTAAGTTCTTGTGAAGGAATTAATGTTGAAGAATAATAATATCCTCCTTCCATCCATCTACGAATATCTACCGGCCCCCATTTTAAAAGTTCTTCTGGTATGAATTGTGATTTTTTATATTCAAAAGCCTTAATTAATTTTTCCCATTCATGAGAGCTACGATAGAGAATGCCTTCATACGTTAAAATTTCTTTACCTATAATCCATACCCTTGTAGCTTTCGGAAGTTCTCTGGTAACAAATGATATAAGTGCTTCTACAATTTTTTTATCGTCGATGTTAACCTTTCTTTCTTTAGTTTTGGTACATGCGGAAGCAAGTGCTCTTTCACATTCTAAATCCATACCACAAATCGAAGATATTTTTGGCATTTCGGGTATATCTCCTGTTCAAGCATGGTTGTTATGACAAAATACAGTTAATGTACTACGTTTTTTATATTTACTGCTATTCCATATTTTATTGCTTAAGATATCTTTAACGATAATTTTCATTCCTAAACCCCCATCCTTTTCATCATTTTCGAGAATATGTAAGTTCTTCAAATTACAACCTAGTTTCAGAACTTTTTCGTTAAATTCTACAAGGGCTCTTTCACGAGTTGGCGTTAACCCTTTAGCCCACTTTGTTCTTCCTTACTCAATTTGTCGTTGTAATTTTGTAATAATACAGTTTATATCACCATTATAGAATGGACCCGGTGGACCTTGTGATATTGGAACTGGCCGAAGTTTATAACAAATATGTGATACATATTCACAAGTCTTTTCTCATAAATATTCATCAATCCCCATAAGCTATCTTGGTGTAATTTCTTCTCCAGTAAGACTGCTACATCAGGAAATTTTAAAAGGCAAAAATCTCCGGAAATTTTTCAGTTTGATTATTTTCTGGAAGTTCTGCAGATTCCCAAAATTTTCTGAAAAAAAAATTCGCAATATTTTGAAAATTTTCGCAGTTTTCCAGAATTTTTTGTAATAAAAATTTGCAAATATTCCGGAAATTTTACACAATATTCCGGAAATTTTTTGTAAAAAATTTGTGTAGAAAATTATTATATTTTCAATTTTTCGAAAAGTTTTGATAA